AAAAAAAGGTGTGGAACAAAATAAAAACTACGTATTCAAGGAATACGTTTTCTATATAAATTATTTAGAAAACGTATTTGTTAAATACGGCTTAAATAAAATTCGAATCGAAAACGTATTCAAGGAATCCGTTTCAGTTAATTATCCTAATTAAGTAAATTAATCAACTTTTTAACGTATTTCGTAAATACGTTTTCTATTTTTTTTATTGTTTTTAAATCTCAAAACGTATTTCCTAAATACGTTTTCATATTATTTTTTTTAATTATTTAAAAATATAAGAACGTATTTCATAAATACGTTTATAGTTTTGTTTTTTTTTTGTTTTTTTTTAAATCATTAAAACGTATTTATGAAATACGTTTTAAATTTTTACATATTTTTTAAATTTAATTTAAAAGTAAAACGTATTTGTTAAATACGTTTTTAGAAGAAAAAATTTGAAAAAACCTGTTAAAATTCAAATTTTACCCAAAAATCAAATATACATGTTCGAGCAACTAATATCAACATATCTGCCCAATAATAATCCAACATACACTATAACAAAACAAATGAAAAAACACATACAATCCAACATCTGAAAATGAAACACAAAATGAAACACAAATTAAATTAATTTGACTTCGATTGTACATACAAATCTGAAAATGAAACACAAAATTCACGAATTCACCACAACTAACTAATTAGGGGTGTATGTATCCGGAGGCCTGCGCTGTCTGGACCCCCTCCGAGCATATACAAATTGAGGTTGAGGTGTGAGAAGTGTGTCAGCTTGAAAAGTCTGGTCATCATCACTTGTGTAATTCAATTGGAAAAAACAAATCATAAATTGGACCGAAATTTTTTTTTCTCAATTTAAAAATCTCACCTTGCTGAGGCTCGGGCGGCTGAGGTATATAGTAGTTCTGGGGGGACTGATGCTGAGGTGAGAAGGGCTGGGCCAACTGAGGTATGTAGTAGTCTTGGGCGAACGGCTGCTGAGGTGGGAAGGGCTGGGTGGACGGCTGAGCTTGGGGACAGACCCGAGATCTTCTACCCCCACCAATGTTGGGGGCGGGATGATGCCTGGCGGTGTGTGACTGTGTCCTCATGTGGGGAATGTAGTCGTCCTGGGAGAAAACTTGACTGGACGGACCCCCATGTGGAACACCCAGGCCCCCAACAGTCAGAGAGGAGTAGGCATAGTTGTACGACTTTTGGAAGCTGAGTTGCGCTTCTGGAGGGATTTGATGCACATAAGGCTGCATATCGGATAATCCGCCATAAATCCCGTACAGTGCATAAGTCTGTAATTAAAATTCATAATAATTAGTATCAAACAGCAAAATAATAATAATAATAATAATAATAATAATAATAATAATAATGATAATAATAATAAACACAATTAATGAACACTTACCTGACAGCCTAATCGCTCGGCAAATAGCTGATACCCGCTCGCCTGTTGGAAGGCAGGGTTATTGATTAATCTACGAGTCCTGCAGTGAAACCATTCGAGGTAACCCTGCTCCGACTGCAGATAGTCGTCCACATGGGCAATTGGGAGGAGATGATTGACTCTATCATCGTTCCACGAGGTCAGAATAGGTCCATGGAATGTGGACCAATCATAAAATGCCCTCCCAGTCATCCCCTGCCCTCTGTGGTGTGCGTCCCACTCTCGCTCATCCCGAATGATCGGATCTTGGGGGATGGATTGGCGACACCCAAATTGCCGGAGGACCCTATCAGGCATGTGTACCTCCCGGGTGTTCCAACTGAAGATCCAACCCCGGTACGTCCAATATTGTCGATCGTCTGTGCACGCATTGGGAAGAGAACCATTGTCCAGGACGTTTTGATAGGGCTGCCAATCGAACTTTAATAAAAAAACAACAATTGGATTAGTAATTAAGTTATTACCAAATTAAAAACAAAAAAAATAAAGATAAATCACAGAAAAATAAGAACGGTAAAAAGAAATAAACAAATTGAATTAAAAACATTACCTGATCCTCTCTCAGCCCTGTAAGCTGATCCCGGTAGGCGGCCAATGTAGTGGCTATGTTTGCCTTAGATCTCGATCCCACCCACCTTAAAAATCACAGAAAAAAAAAGTTTGTAATCATAAAATTTGATAATGAAAATAATGTATGGATTAAATAAAAATAAAAGTGATTACCTCCCTCCCAATGGACAATCAGGCAGAGTACCAAACAAACATCTCTTCACCTTTGGGCGAATACAAGGGATATTCTCCCATGCCCAAACCTACACAAGTGGACATTAATTTTGTTATAGGTATTAGTCGAAGTAAGAAAAATAAAATATTAAATTTTCAAATAATAATTAAATAAATTTACCTGGATCAATTGAACACAGTTCTTCAACCACTTCTGATTGGCTTCGTACGAGATCGCCAACGCTCTGTATACTCCTGCTAAGAGCGCTGAACCC